ATGGCGTCGCCACCCATGAAAGTATACATTGCCTGATCCTTGGGGCCTGCCACATGTCTCAATCGGTCCGTGATGGACTGATGCGCAGCAGCTGTTTGATCCGCAGAAAGGAGACCTCCATTAACACGACAGGCATCAGCGGAATTACTGAAATCAACGCGGCCGCCATAATGTCCCTCAAACACCGAGTTGGGGAAGCTGAAGTACCTCTTGATTTTAACGATCACGTGCCCATCTTCCAGAGCGGCGGCGAAGGAGGGGTGACCGCCCAGGCACTGCAGCAGCAGCAGAAGCAGCGCCACCCATCGGACGACAGTCCCCGTCGCGGAGCGCGCCCGCATGCCCACTTCGGCGGCCATAATAAACACGCTGTGCGGAGCCGTGTGTGTTCGTGTGTATTTGTCTGTTGGTTTCCGCTCTTGTATTCGCCACGGTTGTGCCTTGCTGCTCCAAGTACTTGAAGGGAGCCAAGAAGAGATGCCAACGGGGATAAAAAAAACGGAACGCCGTGTGGAAAACACGCACCTTCGTCACAGCGGCTGTGTGAATGAGTAATTTCACAAGAAGCGCAGAGGGCACATCCGTTTTGAGGCAAAGGCACATCCCGCTCTAGCAGGGCAGAGGCAGCACCTAAAAGGCACTTTGACCAAAGACAGCAATCAAAGTATCGGCTTCAGCGATGCGGTCTGAAAAGCGAATTTACTTATTCTTTTCCCTGCTTTTCATTCGCTAGTTGAGACCAAACCATTCAGCCCAGCCCATTTCTCGCTTACGAGGGGCAGAAGAAGGCAATCGAGAGCTTTTCAGCGACGCTTCCGTCATTCGGTTGGGCGAATAACGCAACGTTGGTGGCGAACTGCTTATTTTTGCGATGGGCCTTCCCGGGGGCAACAGCGGCACTTGTCGCGGCGAGGTCATTTTAGCCGTCAACGTTTTGATGGGTGGCGGCACCAGGCGCAGTGCGACACTATCCCTCTTGGTTTGTTCCGCTTTTGACAATCGCAGTTGATGAAGCTCACGTCGCAAATGCATGACCTGCGAAGCTAAGTAGCCCACATTCTGCTCCGTGGGTTCCGAGTGGGCACGCAGGTCTTCGTCCCACGTGTCGGCTACTGTAACAGGTGGTTTTTCGCCTCTCTGGAGTTTCGTGGCACATTTTTCTCCCGCATCTGCGTTATCCTCCAGCGCCTCACACTTCTTCACCCAGTTCACTGTCCCTCCCAAAAGTTCCTCAAGAACCTTCACAAAATTCACCATCGCCTCATATTTAGACATGTCGCCCAGTTGTTTCCATGCATCGTACTTAAGGCGCTCCCGCGTCCACCACATAGACGGAGCCCCATCGGTGCATGGGCCGTGCTCTGCCTGCTGCCGAAGAGCATAGAGCACAAGCTTCTGCTTGTTGTCAAGCTGTGTGGAAGCCTCAATATCCCCGAACTCATGGTCAAAAAAATGTGCCACTTTAATATACTTCTCTGGAAAGGCGTAGTCCATTAACACAACGCTTGTGTTGTGACCGCATCATGTTTGAAATGGGGGTCAAAGCGAAAGCTGGTATGTGGAACACACGTGAACACCAACACTTACACTGTCACTCCTTCCACATTTCACACGTTCATGAATTTTGTATAGTCTTCTTCGTTCCAATTCACCTTCTTTTCGCATTAATCCGCCTGATTGTTTTGTTTGTTGTGGTTCCTCTCTTTAATTGCCCATGTGGCCTTATTCACTGTATCGTATAAACGCCACTGAGTACACACGCAGTCCCCAACCAACATCTCCCTCCTACCTCCGAAAGGGGCTTGTTTGGCCTGACTACTTGTCGTCATGGGTCTCTCTTCTCGGTTTCACCTTATCCCTCGTAATGTTCTCCTTATATAAACAAGCGTACGCATATATATATATATATATATATATCGGACGAGTACGTGGTAAGAAAGTGGCTGCATATACGGCAGACACCTTAAACCGTGACAGCGTGACGTTTATAACGTTGCCGCAGCGAGTGATCCACGGCTCGGCGGAACATAGCAAAAGATAAGCCAATTAGCAGCAACGCCATCTCTGTATAACACAAAGCCACATACTGCGGGCCACCAGCACATGGAAATGGTAGCCATGAAAGATTTGTCCTAGAGGCGTAAGATGTCACGGCAAACACCACCGTGGAGGTTCTACCTGTGCGCAGCACGAATGGAATCAGCGAACGCGGCAAAGGCACCTTGCAAGTTTCTTTATGCGTCTGCTCTCTCTCTGTATCTACGCCATTGCAGTCTCCAGAATAGAGGACTCTACACGACGTGTGCCTCTCGCCACCTCCCCCTTGCAAAGAGTACTCTGCGGTATCATTCTTTGTCGCAGAATAATTCGGTTGAAACAAGTCCGACAAACAACGACAACACCACATTGCGGCAAAGCCTTTTGGGGTCATTACACGCCAAACGCGATCCGCCGCGTCAGGCGACCGCCAACGGCCAAATAAACAAACGCCTGGGATAGCACAGTGGGACACGGCGTAATGAATGGTGCCAATCCATGGAAAGCACCTCTCAAGCATGCGAGGACTCGACAAACTAAAATTGAAAAATGCATATGGAGTTGACACCCCTTCCACAGCACACCGCAGCAAAGCACCATGGCGCAACTGCGACCACATTTGCCGAAAGAAGTCAAGAAGTGAGCCACTCATCGCCGTGTCGGCTGCGGCAATTGAACTGCTACTGCTGCTCGCATCACCCACCACACGATCATTACTTGTTGCAAGTACAGTACACACCAGAAAGACACTCACGTGGAACATGCAGTGGCGACAACAGGAGCGCAGAAGACCGCGAAACACCACATCCACGTACGCATTTACCAGCTCAGAAGAAAATACTTTTGCAAACTCCACATCAGTGGCCCGCTCTGCATCGAGAACGCGCCGCAAGGCTAACACCGCCCGTGGAGTGGGAAGAAACGGCGAACAGGCCGCATTATCACTATCAGCACTGAGATCTGCGGGAAGATGTGACAGGGAATGGGCGGTGCGGAGGATCAAAGTCTTTCGCTTCCCTGCCAACACGTATAAAGAGACGTACAGCACTGGCACGACGGCGACAGCTGCGGAGCCTGCAACGGCATACCAACCTACTGTGTGCCTCATCGTGGCATCGAACATCGCCACATCGCAACACCCACCTTCGTCGCGGGTACCACATACAAGACGAATCAGGACCCTTCCCAAACCAAACCCCGCTGTCATCCCCCTCCACTTCAGCAGCCGGGTCTATTAGCCGAAGAAGTAACACAAACGCAAAAAAAAAAAAGAAGTGGAGTGGGGATGGGGGTGGAAAGAATGCCACAATGCGTATAACACAAGCAGAAACGGCCAACACGCAAAGAAACCAATGAGCATAACCCACTGCAGATCCACTCCATTGCCGCCGAGTTAGTTGTCATATCATGGCCTCCAATAGTTGAAGGTCAAAAGGCTATCCATTCGATCAGGCAAAATGCAGAGAAGGGGAAGGCGAGAGACCCAACCATACACGCATGAATAGTTAACAGACACATAGATAGAGAGAGGGAAAGGGAGAGAGCAGAAGCGAAGTCATAGCATGTTTTTTTGTCCTCATTTCCAGGCGCTGTCGGCAGCATTGGATGCGGGCTCTGTCAGTCGGCCAGCGACCACATCTTCTTTGCATACGCCCGTGTTATCCTCCTCGTCCTCCCCGACAACGCAGGGGACAGGGTCATCGCTCCTAACAGCCGGCTCCACGTACTCTGAAAAGACATTAGGAGGGTCGTGACACATCACCGGTGTCGTACCTAGCATCGGTAGAGGCAGCGGCGCAGGTGGCAACCCGTCCAGTTGCACGGATTCATCCTCAGTCGGCCCTGTATTCATAGGCAGGCGTTGTTCGTGTTCAAGAAAAGCGACACTGTTTTCTTCCTCCTTCTCCACGGGTTCTGCTTCGCCCACAGCCACCTCACCTAAGACGGTTTCCTCAGCCTTCACTGCAGACTTCGTTACTTCTATGGGGGTTCCACCGTGGGAATCCACCCCAGACAACAGTGCGGCCTCTTTCTTTATTTCGTCGATAAACGCGTCAGTTTCAGTTCTCAGCGCAAACATCACCATCTGAAGTGCATCCTTCACCTCCACCTTCTCCTGATCGAGTCCACAGAGCTGCATCTCGATGTTAGTGTACGCCGCATTCATAGCACGGCGCAGGAGTTTGCATTGACGAGAAGTGTCGTCCGCTCCATGTTGAGAGGCCAGTCTACTCTGCTGCGCGCGCCTATCCAACTTCTCTGTCACTTCCTGCAGGGCATCAATCTGGTCCAGTAGCCGGCGTCGCTCAGAGATGTGATGTGACGCTTGTTCCTGCATCTCAGTCTCCAGCTGCACAACGCGTTGCTCGCTGGCAAAGAGGCGTTCCCTCCACTCGCAGTTACCGTGCCCCCCAGCTGCTTCAAGGGCCTCTTGTTTGCCCAATCGCGCGCCCTCCCTAAAACCCATTTCGCGACCTTCAAGTAGCTTCTCTTCGGCAACTCGCTCAAGGGCCTTCCGGTGACGGACCTCCACTTCCACTAAATTCAAGCGATGATGCTCCTCTAGCTGCCGCACGCGCGATGCATGTGCTTCTTGCTCAATACGCAGATCATTCTGCAAAGAATGTAGTTCGTCCTTGTGACTTCCCATCACTTCAAGGGCCCGGTGGTAATTGTTTGTTTCCTCTTCAAGGCGTTTCTTAAGGCGTTCAATAGTGGCCAATAGCCCATCCCGGTCCTTCGTCATGTCCTCGACGTCCACATCATCCGTGGGGGCCTTTCCCACCACCCTCCTCATGATTCGTTCAACCACGGCGTTATTCTTATCAACGATTTCGGCGATAGCCAAACGGTCAATCTTTTCGTAAAGCGAGGATAGCTGAATATGAATGCGATCGATGCCGCGCTCCACAGAACTCCATGGCCCACTGACGTCGTTCCAAGAGCCACAAACCGTATTGTTGTTGGTATTACTTGTTTTGTTTTGTTGTTGTTGTTGTTGTTGTTGCAGCGTCTGTAGAAGAATGGCCTGCAAAACAGTGCTGATATCTCCACCTACAGCCGCGGGAGCATCCGCCACCCGCGTCGATGAGGTCTCCGCTTGTGTAACTGGGTTTGTTGCAGCCGCCCGAATGTCATTGTTAAAGGGAATAGTTTCTAAGGGGGTAACCGGCGTCGGTTTGTCGCCACGGCTCATGCTACAACGCGCCATGACATCATGGCAGGTGAGGTGGACCACGACAGTGTCAGAGGAAGATACCTCTGGATTGCCCATGCCCATCCCAACAACCGTCTTCTTCGGGGGCACAAACACCAATCGTGAGGTGCCCTTCTGCATGCCGATAAGGGCTTCCTCAGTTCCTGCCATCAGATTACCATCACCAACCACCACCTCACAAGGGGCCAATGGAGGGACTTCCTCAACCATTTTGCCAAGTGAAAAAAAATTCGTGCCAGACACCCGACGAAGCAGCCATGCCATATAGGAGATTGAGGCGACATCACCACGGGAAACTTCCAATTGAGGTGCTTCTGCTTCGGCCTTCGCCTCATTGCCCCACTCGACGAAGGGCGGCGCAGTACCCATCTCCACCTCCATATAGTGGAGAGTTGTGTGGACGGCGGAGGAAAACTCTGTGCATTCGCGGCGTCCCTTGAACATCAACGTCCAGTGAGAGCCTAAACTGGGGTCATACAAAGAGGCATACTGCGGTGAAGATCTGTTCTGGACAAATTGCAGGTTTCTATCTACGGTGACACGACACCGTGGACGCTTTTCGCGATCCACAATCGCAATAAGTGGGGTGACAATCGGGGCATTTGCGTGCGGCACACATACGGCGACCACACATGCTCCCATCGAGGTTTCACCGCTATATGCAAGTGCCACCGCCTGCACAGCGGTCCGCAGGGGTGATGGGGCATTGGGCGGGTAACCGGGTGCGCTATTTCCCCCCATGACAGAGAGCGGCACGGCCTTGTTTCTCCTACCTTGATCCTCGTAACGCAGGGAGGTGACACCCTGTTTTGACTGCAGCGCATCCTGTGCAAAGAGGGACCTCATGCTTTTACGCGTCAAGGTCTTCCTCGTATCGCTGGGGTTGGGAAACCCACCTTCTTCGGCGTCGACGGAGGAGCCCGAGTCGTCGTACATTAAGAAGGAGGGCGGAAATGTTTGGATTTCTGTATTTGTAGGTAACTACGTATGCGTGTGCGGCAGGTGCCGCTTCCTTGTATGCTTGCCTGTGCACGTTCGGCAACTCCCCGCAAGGAGGAAACCAACAACGGCAAGTGGTCCGCGAACTCGATGGACCCATGGGGGGGGGGGGGGAGCGCCACAGAAAAAAAAAAGTGTGGAATGTGCCCAGAGAAAGTGCAAACACACATTGTTGGCGTCTTGTTTTCATACTCATCATTGCCGACAAGGCCCGCCTGCCAACAACAGCAAATCTCACGTCGGCGATGACACACACACACCCTTCACAGCTCCTCTCCCGTGGCCCAGGTCCAAGTCTCGTGAGGCAGAGAAGACCTCAACAGCAAGAAAGGGAAATGGGTAGCGCGCGGAGGAGGACGAAAGAAAAAGAGAGTAAAACGACTATCATACATCCGGACATCAATTCAGATTGGGGAATCATAACAAGAATTATAAAACATAAAATCATCAAACCCACTACAACTCGAAGCAAGAATCATCCAGTGGATTGTGACGCATCAGCCACTCTGCGAGGAAGTCCACAGGGTCTTCCGGGCGCGTCTTGCAGACCTCCACCAGGCCCTTGCTCAGCAGTGGCACAATGTTATGCTGAAGGTACTCGCGCAGAGGAAGCTTTCGCTGCTCTAATGAGTTTCGGTCCATCACCTCAATCTCCTGACGTGTATTTTCTACGTGCGAGCGTTCTTCGGTCTCACGCATATATTCATGCTTTTCACGTTCGCGCTGCTCCATAACCGCCTTGAGTTCTTTTTGACGCTCCTCCTCCTGAAACTTGCGCTGTCGCACCTCCTCTTGGTACTTTTGCTGTGGTGTAGGTCCAAAGTTGCGCGGCTTCCCCACACGCTCACAGACGATTTGTTCCACGTTGCTGAGCGGCGCGACGGCGTATTGAGACTCTGGCCGAGGCGGCGACAACAGCGGCTCCGCATCGACCTTTAAAAACGACACAATCACACCGCGGCCACCAGGTGTGAGCGTCTTCGCCACGGTACGGGCACACTCAAAAAAGTCTGGGAGGGAGTAATCTGTATCAACAAACTGCCTTCGGTAGAGCGTCATTGCCTCCTCAAAGCGTGCAAGGCGTTTTTCCTCGTTTCCAGGCGTCTCATTCAGCGTCTTCGAAAGCGCCGTTAAGCGGTCAAGCAGATAATTTTCGGCGGCGTCGAGCACGAAAACAAAGGATGGCAACCGTGCTTCGTCGCACGGCTCTGTGGTGGGAGGGGGGACGTTCGCCTCACGGGTTCCCGGTCCTGAAAAGTTGCCAGTGGAATTTGGGGTTCCCGCCGCAACGGCTTCTTCAATGGTCTCTGGAATGTCAAGTGGCTCCTCACCAAAGACAAGACGTGCTTGCGCCAGAGTCTCTGGGAAGCCGTCCATCACATAGCCTTGATTACGGCAATCTGCACGCGATAGACGCCATCGCATCATCAGTGCAAGTGCCTTGTCCTGAAACGGCGCATTTTCTTGCAGCTCGGTCGATGTATCTTCTTCTTCCATGGCATGTTTTTTGTTTCCTGAACGATTTCCACGTTTGGACTTTGCCTGCTCCTTCCTCTTTTTTGGATTCATGGCGTTCTGCGCGTCGGCGTTTGCCGTCGGTTGCACTCTCACCTTCATTGCAAGCACCCGCTCCATCGACGCGATAACCTCGCGTAGTTGTGTGGCTCGATCATTCTGCTGAAACCATTCCTCTACAAGTTCCTCCACGGCATGGTGCTCCTCCTCCGTCAAGGCAAAGCCAACCGGATCTTCCTCCATGTCACTATCTTCATTGATGTCATCTGCACCGCGTAGCCCCTTCGTGCCGCCTGCGACTTCATCCGCTTCGAAGGTGTCGTTGACGCCACCCTCTCGCTGCATCCCTGCGTTTGCAGTCTCCCGCTCCACCACCGCCTGGTCCTCCTCGTCGTTTCGGTCCACATCATCTTTCTTCGTGCGGTGCCGCAAAAAGGCCCGCTTCTTTGATTCTTCTCGCCTCTTCTTCTCCGCGTCGTACAGGCGCCGCCGGAAAGTATCGAGTCTCTCTTTTAACGCGGCAATGTACGCCTTATACTCCTCCAGCACCCCTTCCATTGTGAACGTCGGCAAGTTGTAGTGCCGCCGCGCCAACGCTTCGGCCAGGTACGTCTTTCCTGAAAGCGGCATACCAAGCAGAATGATGCGAATAGGCTGCAAATTATGGGACGCGACATACTCAAATGCAGTTTTGGAAATACTGGCAACAAAACCGGACTGCGCCACCCAATCTTCGTCAGCTGGCATCAAATCTCGCATCGTCTGGTTATCCACACGCATATTTAGTGTGAAGAGCTCAACATTGTTGTAAAGAACATAGTCTTCAGGTGGTACATGAAACGTCTTTTCACCGCCGAACGCATGATTCATTGCGTGTACCATGCGTTGCCACGAAACCGTTCCGGAGTCCGCTGCAAATACATACGGTAGGGCAGGTGGTTCCTCGGCCTCAATCAGTCGTCGCGTAAAGGTCACAAGGTCACGCACATGCACCGTTGGCACAATTTGTGTACCGTCGCCGTAAATAGGAAGTCCCTTTTTTTCACGATTCCACACCTGCGCAAAAAAGGGTTCAAGAGCATCCTCACCTTCTCCATATTGCAGTCCCGCAAAAACGACGCAGGTCTGTATGTTTCGCTCATCGGAGTTCCCACTAGCCACAACACGTTCCGCCTCGCGCCAATTGTAGTACTTGGCGTGTGGAATACGACGGTTGTACTGGTCTTCCGTGAAGAGCTCCACGTTAAGTTCATACTCGTTGTCGTTGTCGTCAATAGCGTTGTTATTATTGTTGTCGTCGTCGCCTCCTCCGGGATGGTAAAACTGTCCAAGAATGGCATCCACTTCGCGTTGATCAAGCGGTCGAGGGTCTTCTTCGCGTTCTTCTTCCACTTCTTCCTCTTCCTCCTCAAAATTGTCTTCGTTTTTGGCAGTGTTTTTCCCGTCCTTCTCTTCAACAGAATCCAGCTGCATCGGCGGTGTCGCGTACCACGTCAAGAAGGAGGAGACGACAATGACGCGTTTCCGCTTCAGCTGCTCTTTGGAGCTGAGCACATGCATCATGTCAAACACATCCTGTGCCTGGCGCATCTCCATCACGATGTGGTCCGCTTGAAGGATCGCGTGACGCACTGCCCGCGAGTCCCCCCGCCAGAAAACGCGCGTTGGGTGGTTTTTCTGGTCATGCCCAGGCGCCGTAGTGGCCACCGACGGTGGCGTCAACTGGACTGTTGCCACTCCGCTCGCTGGATCCTTTGCGTCACCGGCAGTGCTATGCAAGGCAGCCGCAGCCCCGTCCGCCTCTTCCTCCATGCCGGGGGCCGCGGCAACTCCCCCATCAACGAACGCCTGCACCCCGTCCTTCTCCCAGGTGCACAGGAACAGCTTGTAGCGTCTCCCCGCTCTGTCGCCGACGCCGTCCCGATTGAGCTGTTGAACCAGACGTTTGCCAAAGTACGTGTCGGCGTATGCAACAAGCACGCTAGTGGGACTCTGCGACGTGGCATTTTTAAACGTCCCCGGCGTTGACTGCTCCGCGCTCATCACCTTTTTCTGGCAGCTCTCTGTTCGATGTAAATTAAAGGCAAACACAGGAAGTAAGTCAGGGGCACCGCTCCCACACACAGAGTAAGAAACCGCAAAGAAACAAACCCTGCAAGATGCACCAGCAGAAGTGACACGCTGCCGAAGCATATTCCTCTTATTTTCGTTCTTCTTGGTTATTCTATATCCTGCTCCTCATCTCACAGCACACACGCACACGCACACGCACACGCACACATACAAATGCTCAATCTTTTTAGTTCCCTCAAGGACACCCCCCCCCCTATTTCCGTTTCTGTTTATTTTCCCTGCTGCATCCCATTCCGCTGTTTGTTTGCACCTCGCCGCGCGGCACTGTCATGGTGTGGCGGGTAGGTGGGTGGCAACAGTTACTGCAGCAGCGCAGGGAAGGCGTGCAACCGCGGCCCCCCTCACGCCTGCTGCCCTCTTACGCGCAGTGCCTTCATACTTCCGTTTTAGCAGCAAGGCCATGATCAGAATAAAATAAAATAAAAATTCCGTCTCATTTCTTTCCTAACAAAGAACCAAACAAACAAGCAAAAAAAAAAACATTTTATTTCGGTGTTGATTTACATGGCGCAAACCCCATTTCTCCCGCGAGCTCTTTCTGCCCTCTCTATACCCCACTGCTTCTCCTCCTTCGCCAGTGGCCCTCTCGCAGGAGGTGGCGGAGGAGGAGGAGGCCGCAAGCAAGGCAGCGGGGAAATAAACAGAAACCAAAGCAAACAACAAGGGCCCCACGCCAAGCTCGAATTACACAAACCCAGACGGAGAGGCGCCAATCGTTCCTTTTTTTTTGTTTGCTGTTTTTGTTCTTTGTTATTTATTTCCTTCCCCTTCCACACACACAGGCACCTCACCTGTTCTTCTTCCTTATTTCTGTTCCCCCCACCCGCACCGCACTGCACTGCACCGCACCGCACCGCCCCGCCCTCCCTCCCTTCATTTCGTTCCATTTTATTCTTCGTCTCCCAATTAAGCTGGAACCGCCCATGGTTACGCAAGGAAGGAGCCGATCAACCTCCTTAGCAGACGAAGGCGATTGCGGCTGCGACGGTCGATCACGCTGTCATCTACACCACTCAACGGCTCCAACACACGCCCAAGCTCTTGTTTTGAGAGCTCAAAGAGAGAGTTTTTCTCACTGGCGTCCTCTGTCGCCTTTTGCTTGATCTCTTTCAATGCATCGTCCCACTCCACGTAGAAGGCATCCATAATTTGGATGCGCAACGGAATGAGCTCCGGCTGCGAATTCAGCTCAAAGGACAACTGCAGACACAAACTCAGGAAGGCAGTCAAAGAGATAGCTTGCGGCCGAGTGATTGTTGACATGTTTTCAGTGCACACCTCGTTTTGTAGGAAACCCAACAAAACGGCGATGTCAGATGCCGCCAAAGCAATATTAAAGGCAGTGGTCCAGTCATTTGCCTCAGCTGCTGCCACAGCCCTTGAGACGAGGACGTCTGGGGCCACCGGCACCGCCACAACGCTCAATTGCGACACCGCGTTTTTCGTTTCGTTAAGCTCCTCTGAGAGCTTCTTCATCTCATGCTTAATCGAGGCCCCAAATTCCCTAGCCTTGGTAATACATTCTGCAGACGCGTTGGTGGAGGCCTTGAGGGGCGCCTGCATCAAGGCATGGTGGTCCTTGATGGCACGAATAAGCACCCGCATGGCAGAATCAGTACCGTTACTAAACACACGCATGCTATCAGTAGAGCGAATAGTTGGGACCACAATCCCAAGATCCATCTGCTCCGCCTCCTTCGCGCCCTTTGCCACTGCATCCTTTAGGCGTTGGGTAAGAACTGCCTTCACGGTGCTCTCTGCTGACTCCGCTGCACCAGGGTCCACCTCTTCCAGGATGGCGTGAATTTGATCCAAGAATTCTTGTTGGGATGCATTGAGGGTTTCAGGAGACTCAACCGCGAGAGATTGCTCTTGTTGCTCTTGTTGCTGCTGCTGCAAGAGCTCCAGTCTTCCTTTATTGCGTGTGGCAAACTTGCGGCCAATCGTCTGCGCCTCCTCTCTTGCACGTGTTTCCTGAAAGAGCCGCATCGCCTCCGAAGCTCGTTTCTGCAAATCAACGACACGCTCATCAATGCTACGCAATTTGTCACAGAACTGAGACGCCTGCTGACGCACTATCCTTGACGCCATAGCCTGTGAAACCGCATTCGTCGTCTTGTCACCTAGAACAGAGGAAGACACGGCTGTTAGTGCCGTTGGAAGTTTCGCTGCTATAACATTACCCTCCGTTTCATGCTGCGGAAACCACTTGGCAACAGAATTTTGCTTCATTGTGGCTGTGTTAGAGGCGCCAACGAGCTTTTCTACATCCAAGACCTCTTCAAAGAAACCGCTCGCGGTACGAACTCCAAGCATCAGCTGGTACGCTACAGAGCCGCTGAGAGCCGACTCCGCAACCTTCCCCACCATCGCCACACTGGCAATTGCAGGACCCTGCAGTTTCCATGATGTGACACGATCTACCTTAAAGTTGCTTCGATGCAATTCCACTACAACCGCAAGCGAATGACGCTTGGAGCACAATGTAATGTATTCCTCTGTTGCCGTACAACTGATTAAAAATGATTCTTCTTCTTTATTGGCTTCTGTAGTATCAGCATCAGTTTCAACGGAAATGCATAGATCCTGCATAAGTGAAAAAGTCTGCTTCGTCTTATTGTAGCACCAGAGACGAAGTTCTGTGTTGCCACAGGTCGCCGTGACAATAAACACATTTCCGGCAGACTCATTTGCAAAACCACGTCGCTGGAGAAAGAAGGCAGCTGTTGGGACAGAACCCCCATGGGGTTCCCATACCTTTGGCAGAATACTCTTGCGGGTATCGGTAGAGATGAGGTCGAGGCAGTTTTGCTTCGCAGGGGCGAGTAGCAGCTTCGCCTCGTGGTGGTAGCCGATCACGGGGTACCTCACAAGCGTCTTCGACGCAAGATCCATCGTCGCCTTCTTGGTGGCGGCCTCCATGTCCACCTCAAAGATGTGCGCTTTGCCCAACGCGTAGGCGGTTTCGCCACTGCCCACCGCGACGCCATAGAGCTCCTCCTGCAGATTCACCTCTTGCAAAAGGATTTTGGTCTCCCCATTTGCATAATTCACAGGCTTCAGACGCGACACACTCTCCCCACCGACAGCGAAGAAGGCGCAGTAGTCAAGGTGGCCCTCCGAGGAGACCAAGTGGCGGAGCACCGGCGCGCCCACCTCCGCCTCGACGTACTTTCCTTGGCGGTAAAGAACCCGAAGACGGTTAGGTTGTTTCACGTTCATGCAGAGAAGTCTGCGATGAGACGACATCAGCGCCGGCACTTCATCACCAAACGCATTTGCCTTGACGGAGATAAGCGGCACCTCGAAACGCACGGCGTTAGCGTTTCGTTCCCTGCACACATAGGCGAGGGTGTCCATGGCGACTGATGCAAGATATACAACTATGTGCGTATTTATGTTTCAGCACACGCCACCGCCCGCACCACCACCCAAAACGGAAAAGGGGGATGGGGAGGGGGGAAAAAAAAGAAAAAAAATGAAGCACGGGATGTGTTGACGCGCAAGCCTCCTCCTTCTGCCCTTTGTTCTTTCTTGACAGTGAGTCCAGACGAAAACAAATAGTAACAGACGGATATTTCCGTGAATTTGGGTTTACGCCCAGAAGAGTCAAGGGAAATTACTTCACGTTTACTTTTACCCCCTTGTGTTATTTTTTTTTTTTCTGTCGCTCCCTGTTGCTTTTCCTCCCCTCCTCCCCCTTCTTAAGTAATAACTATAAATAAATACTCTTTCCGGCCTTTCTGGTAAATGGCGCACGAGTTGCCTTGATTTCCCACCTTTTTTTTTTCTCTACTTTTTGCAGTGTATTTCTCTTGCAGTTTCCTTCCCTCAAACTGTATGAGTGACACACTCGCAGACATCAGCAAAAGGAACAATACAACATGAGAGAGGGACAGAGAGACAGAGACGCATACATACAAGGAGAGAGAGGGAGGCCCTGGTGGACGCACACACAGAGGAAGACATACCAAACCAATAGAAAACAATGAAATACGGTGGGAGTATATATATATATGTATATGTATATGCGAGGGCGTAAGCAAGCGCGTGTGTGCCCCTGCCCATTGAATAACCACAACCCAGACCGTCTTGGTTCCTTCACACCTCACGCGGTTACAGGAGCTGCACAGGTGCGCCACGCAACGGTGCTGTTTATTTCTTATTCCCTTTTCCTCTTACTCGTCCATCTCACTCACACCACCTCTACTCCATCATTGCATTTCCACTCTTTAGATGCCAAAGCCTCTCGTGCTGTTTGTAGACCGCCACCTCTGACAGCACCCGCGAGACAATCCGTTGCAATTCCTCGCCATCCACAGCACCTCCACTAGCGTCTTCTCCTTCACCCGCAGACCGTCGCTGTCGCTTCTCTTCGAGCAATGCGTGAAAGGCACGTGTCTCAAAATTCACGAGCTCCACCGCCGTCTCAAGAATCAACGGTCTGTAACGATCAACCTTCGGTTCGCCGAGTACTTTCAGCACCCACGTGGCATTTGTAAACGTTTGCACACACCGCTGCAAAGCTGCACTCAGCATTGGGTTCGTCGCGTCTGGGTAGTGCTGTTGTCTGCCCTTCATGACTAACTCCTTCGCACGCTGCTTGTTCAGCACACCATGCTCTAGAAACAGACGGCGAATGTACGCCAATATCGGAGCGAGCTCATCATCCTTGAAAGATGAAGATGCCGCACCCGCCGCCGCCGCCGCAACCGCCATGCCAGTTAAGTTGGTTGCCTCCGCGCCTGCCTCATTTCGTCGTGTCGCCAAGAGAAGTCGGGAAACCGGCATGCCTAAGTTAATCGCATTTATGTGGCCCATGATATAGGGTCTAAACTTCTCCCACTGCATGCGTTGAAATGTTACCTCTTGCGGGTACGCATTTTGCGCGGCCCGCAACATTGCCACTCGTAGGGCTGCGTCAGCTGGAACGTGCCTTAAACGCCACACACGCTGCTTAGGGTCAGGCTCGTCGCTGTTCAACGTTGCGACGCTTTCTAATATCTCCTTCACATTCCGTTGCAATGCAGTGCTATTCACAATTTTGTTCAGCTCGGCTCTAGCCAGGGAGGCATCAGCGCTTTCAAAGAAGAGCAGAAGAACCACCTCACGCAGAGCGGCAACTGTGCCTTTAAAGCGGGAGGCCGTCTTCGACACCCACACCCCGTGAATCCACACGGCAGCCTCTCTCAGTGCCTCCAGCAGCTGCTTATCCGTCACACCGTCCGGCTGCGGCTGGCGGGAAGCGGAGGGTGATGGAACGAGAGCGTGATCTGGCGGAAGCACCAACGCACGCAGCTCCGCTAGTGTCAAGACCTGGCAGCGCTGCAGCAGCACTAGCACTTGGTCCAGCACACCGTAACGGTGTGCATAGCGTCGCAGCAAATTTCCAACAGCAGCCGCATCCTCGCCGCCGGAGATTCCGCCTGAAATGAGAAGCTCCGGTGGGAACAGGCTGTCCTCCGTTTGCGTCCTTGGCCGCTGGCTGCCCGTAGTCTGGAGAAAGGAGGAAACTTCATAGGTGGGTGACCACAACCGACGACGCATGGCCATACTTTCCACAGAACCGATGGGGAAGTATTGCAGCTCCTTCGCTGTCGCTGCATCAGTGTTCAACATGACGCTACGCTGGCGCAGCATCTCGCGATGGATGCGGTCAGAAATGGCAAGTCCCGGGACAATCGGCATAGATGGCACACTCGTAAATCCCTCACCCACGCAATGGGCAGCGCTAAGCGTTGTTGGTTTGACAATAGGTGTGAACTGTTGAATGGTACTGACGGGCGTCAGGTGAATTGCTCCATCGACAATGAATCCAACTGCATAATCACAACGGGGTTGAAAGGGGTGGGACTGCAGCGCGTAATGATATGAGTGTCTCTGCGGCTGGTCGCCCTTGCGTAGGCCATCGCCTGTCTGCTGCATCGGCTGTGGTTGGGGTGACGGCTCCACGAAGGAGCTGGAGCCAAACATGTCAAGGCGGCAGTGCATCGTCAGCCTTGAAGAGGGAGACAAAATAGACGCCGAGGGCGTCGCCGCCGCCGCCGCTGAAGTCAATGCCGCGGCTTTGCCGAAATTGGCAACTCCCTCCGTCGCAAAGAGCTGCACATCGTCCGCTTCATATGGCCGCATTTTGCGCCGCATTGGGAACTGAAATATGTGCAGCTGGTGCTGCAGCAACGGCGACGCGTAGACGTTGTAAGTGGCAACCACCTCGTCCTCTTCTTCGGCAGCGCCCCGATGCTCTCTCACGCCGAACCTCATTTGAAAAAGAATGCGCAGAGACGAATGCCCGTGTGTGTGTGTGTGTGTGTGTCTAAGGCACCGCACTTCCCTCTCCTTCGCACGCCCACTGTGTGGCCCCCCTCGCCCGACACCTTCCGTCTCCTTGAGTTCATCGTGCGTTTGCACGGAAGCGTAAAAACAAAACAAAACAAAAAGCGTCCGTACAGTCCCACGACAGACGCACGCAGAAGTAAGTAAAAGGGCGCCCCTCACATCCACGGCGTGTATAACCGAGGATGGCGCTTCGCCCAAAGCGGCGTCCACACCACAGTCCCTGGCGCCCAGTTCACCGTCATAAAAACCTCCTTGTCCTTGTTACAGTTGTGGCTATGAGTGTGTGGTTTTTTTTCTTTTTTTGCTTCGCCGCCTCGTGGCAGCCGCACCCACGACGCTTACCCGCTCGCTCCCTCAGCCCTTCACAGCCAGACTGCCATGAGACGCATCCTGCGCACTGCCTTCTGCCCGCCTCGCCCACACAGAGCGCCCTTCTCAGTCAGACTTCACAAAGGCGTACATCGTTTTAATAAAGAGGGAGGCCGCGAGAAACGCAACGGCGCCGCCCATAAGTCCAATGGCCGCCGACAGCGTGGCAGAATAAATGAAGTAAAAGACAAGTGTAAAAAACCCACTCATTGTGGTGCGGTAGACGTAAAAGTAAATAGAGTAGAGGTAGACGTAAAATCCACTAGATGCACCGAAGCCAAACGACATCCACGGCCAGCGGTGGTTCTCTATGTTCAGCAGCACGTATGTGGCGGTGATGGCGACACACGATGTAACTACCGCAAATACAACAAACGTCAATAATAAAAGCGTGTAAAAGTAATATAGCTTGTTTAGCCACAGGGAGTTCAACACGAGGCAAAGCTCAAATGCAATTGAGCCGAACGGCATTGAACCACAGAGAAAGACAAACACCTTGGTCGACAGCAAAAAATTTGGTGGCGGTGGTATAAGTCGTGGAATTTGATTCACATGCGGCAAACTACGTTGACTACGTGGCATGAGTACATGTCGTCGATAGCCGTAGCGACCCAGGAGAGTTCCCACCACCACAGCCGGGCAATACCCAAGGAAAAGAAGTGCTACAACGAAAGTTATGCCACCAACGTGCACCGCCCGCGCAGACTCGTAGAGATGTGCCACAATGTTCGTAATGGTCCCACAGGACAGAAGAAAGAGCGGAAACACGGACATTGTAAACTCCATGCAACGCATCCACTTCTTGGAAAGTGCAGGGCTTAACGTCGCGTACCGCAGGAACTGCACCGAGGACACACATCCCGCCACCACGCCAGTTAGGGCATACAACAGAGCCACAACTGTGACAGCATCCTGCGAGGAGCTCCGGCGCAGACTAAAGTAGGCCGCGGATGCGACTCCAAGCACAAACACCACAGAGAGCTGCACCCCAGTACCTAGTAAGGCACACAAGAGCGACGGATACGAAGGCACGCGGTGAATGTCTGCATAGAGCTGTTTCCAGCCTGTGCTGTCAACAAGGTCGTCGGTCCCCTCATCCCGCAACCGAAGCTCTTGCTCGATACGTTGGTAGTCCGTGCGAATCACACGAGAAAGGATCACCAGAACGACAATGACAAGGAACACAGCCAACACCAAAGAGTTGCCGATGGCGAACCATCGAATCCTGGGCTCAATCAGTTCCTCTTCCATGTACTTCGCGAAACGATTTTCAAAGCTGATATTCGATGCAGTAAAATGAGTGGAGTACGTGAAGACGTATGTCTTGGCTGCACAGAGTTCCTCGAGACCCGCCGTTTCTAGTGTGACATTGACAAGCCGTGGCCCATTTATACCGAGGTGAAAGGCACGATGCAGGTAAATCATTGGTACGGCGTTGACAACCTTTCCGAACGCCGCCCAGAGCGGTAACTCGTCGATGAGGAGCTGGTACGTGTAGCCCGCCAGAATCATCTCACGCCAACGGGCCACGTCTTCCTCAGAGGGCGAAAACAGACAAATAACGCCTCGCTTCACATTGACGCCGAAGTTGACTGATACGTTTAACTCGTAGAGCTCGTCACCCACGAGCGCCTGACCCAACGTGGGCGCCCGCTGCTCCCAACTTGCCGGGGGGCATCCAGGGGCGCGAAACAAATCATACGTCTCGAATGCATTGTGCAGCGGCCCGATCTTGTTGCCATACACCCGCAACTTCTCGCCCTCGCCGTACGTGTTCGTGTCCTCCCCGGCTAGAACGACACCCGCCACCAGCGATGCCCACAATGCAAGAAAGAAGACAACCGTTGAACTTCGTACACTCATTAAAAAAGCAAGCAAACAAACAAAAGAAAAGAAAAAGAACGGGGGAAAAAAAATATGATTCCTTGTTTCTTTTTTGTGTTATACCTGTCGTCCCTCGTAGGCTTCGTGCAAGGTGAGGGAGGCGGGAACCCTGGTTCTCTCTCGCCCTGTGTAGGTGGCTTGTTTTTCCGCCTTCTCCTTACGAATACAATATATGTGCCCGCGTATTTGTAATGGTTCAATACTCACCCTTCGACCACGCTATGTGCCCCTCGCTCACTCACTCACCTTCTTGGGCGGATGAAAGAAATAATGAAGCCAGAGCACCACACACAGATACACGCAGCCGCACACCAGCAGCAGCAGAAGCGCAACATACAAACAAACAACAACAACAACAACACGCACACACACAAAGCGTGTGCACAAGAGTTCATGCAAGAACGGCGTGGAAAACTGCAGCAAACGCTTAATATTTTCTTTTCTTTTCCGACTGTTACTGCCATTTTCCTACACCGCAACTGCGGGAAAGTATAACGAAGGGAGTTTTGCGTGCTGTGGGGCCACAATCACACACACACACACACCCTCGTCCTGCTTCTGGCTGCCCCCCTCTCACCTCCTGCATTCCCCAAACTGCCTCCGCTCCAGTGCAGGCAATGGAGGACACCAGTAGGAGCAACGACGTCGCCGTACACAGAAGGCATGGAGATAAATAGGCACACAAGCAGGGCTCAACTGCAAGCACAATCAACATATGGCCCACACAGCCACAGCAAGAAGCAAAGAAGATGAAGGACAACTTTCGTCACCGGCCCAGCACTGAGGAAGAAACAAAGGCGGAGGAGGCGGGCAGTCTCGCAGCTACATCTCACGGAACACTCTAGCCGCCGTGTAAGTTGTTCCTACAGACTGCACAACCCAACCCGCCCGCAACACAACTTTACAGCCACAGAAAACCACCTCGTGCAGGCCGCACCTGCCAAAACATTTCAAAGCATGTTTGTAGGAAAGGGGCAGTTGCCGTTTTCTTACTTACATTCTTTTTTTTTCTCCCCCAGTTTCCAGGTCTCCCGCTCCCCATCATCTTTGCAACTCCCGTAGGAGCGTAATAATGCATTCGCGCCGCCCCCACAACTTCCGAGTTGATCGCCAAGTATATATATATGCCGCCTCCCACACTTCGACATAACCTCAAACCCAGTTTTGTCAGTCATTTAACGCCACGTCCCAGGACAGCATGTAGGGGAAGAGGAACTGCATACACGCAGCGTTGCCAGACTGAGTGGCCAAATCAAACCAGCATCGAATAGAGATAATCCACTGCTCTATTAGCAGCTGCTGCCGCATTTCACCAACGGCCTCACGCATGTCCAGCACACCTCGCACTGCAACAAGCAGGGAGGCGCCGGCTATCTGGAGATTGCTCTCCTTTGAGCCGTAAATTAGTACAGTCGGTGAGAGCAGCAGGCGTACTATTTCTCTACATAACCCAAGCGTCCCTGAGCCACAAACAAAGCGTTTTGGGGCCGTTAAAATAACCTGCAACAAGTGCACGAGTCCAGATGTGATAAAGTACATCACACATCCAAAGTTGGCCGCGTCTAACACTTCCGTTCGGTGAGAAGCAGAGGGTGGGAACTGCACCACGTCCTCTAAAAGGGGGTGCTTGAGAATTGATGGCCATGAACGCGTGTGCTTGATCGAGGGCATGTGTGGTGGATCAGGGAGCGCTGCAACCCGCACCACCCGCTGCCCCGGCGAGGCGAGCAGCTCACTCTGTGTCGCCAGGAGGAAGCTACTGACGGCGCACCATTCCGTGTCGGGGGTATATATATCGGTGCGCGGGGCCGCCAGCAACGTCGCCGCCTTCAGCAAGAGTGTGGGGGCAAAGAATAACATGACAGGCGCTCTCGTTTTACCGAACACCGCCAAGAATGGGTCCGAAGGCGCCAGTCGAGAAATGGCTTTTAATAGCGCCTCTGTCTGATGATCAACGCCGCGTTTAGGGAGTAGTGTCATGATATCCATGTATTTGTCGCCATTTCTCACGCACACCGATTCGAGTGCTTCATACAGGGTGGATGCGCCCGTCAAAATTTCCGCCACGTCCTGTGGAGAAGCGCAAGGCATGAACCCCTGGGCAACAGCAAGGGACGCTGAACACGAGACTTAAAAAGCAAAGGTAAAAATAAAAAAGGATGGAGAAAACAGATGGATATTTGAGACACAACGGGGGTGGAAGAGAAGAAGAAAAAAAAAAGAAGGAGTGGAATGAACAAACAACACCTTTCCACGCAGCCAGGCAGACGCCGCACTGGCTGACAGAGACACATAATTACGCTGCAGTCCATTCCGCATTTCGTTGCAGTAAAAACAACAAAAAATAACAATGAAAGTGGGAGAAACCCTGACAAAAACACCAAATGTGTGTTCAGACAGAGGCATGATTCCCTCCTTCCAAGCGCCCATCAACATCACCAAGACCAAGACCCCGAGAAACACACGCAGCTACAGATGCTGTTAGGCGCACCGTTTTGTAACCGTTGTAAACGTAATCCTCCGGCAGGGCACACCCATGCACCTCCATCAGACTAAAGGTCTGAATGCTGCTCTCAAAGAGACCTACAATAAAAAGCGCGTGAAACTCAGGGAAAGAAACTGCGCAGGAAATCCCCCCTACACTCTCCTCCAGCACTGGCAGTGGTACGTGGGATGTGAGGCCATACAAATTGGCGGGGATAACTTTGAGGCTTCGCTCGCAACGCATAAAAAACTCCGGCTCATCGTACACATGCCACTCCTTTATCAGGCCGTCGTCGTAACCACAGGAGATAAAAATGTCTGGGGAGCGAAGGAGACAAAGGTGGCGAATCAGCCCGCAGTGTCCCTGACCCTCGCTTGAAACCAGACCTTGCATGTACACCTCGGCGGATGTGTCCCACAACCATACCACGACTTTACCGTCTGAACCCCCTGTTACAATACGCCTCCCATGCTGTAAAACAAGAAGCGCAAAGCATGTACTGCCTATCGTGGGTAGAATATGCAGTGGGGTGAACGCTGGTTCTACCGCATGGAGTGGAAAGTAAACTGTGTTCTTGAGCGATGGAAATTGCAGAGGCACATACGTAGTCTGCAGCAGCGACATCGCGGACTCTCCATTGCTGTCTTGCAGAGGTGGCAATGTCAACAAGTTGCTCACCACACCCACATCAAACCCGTTCGCAACATGTGTACCGTACTTGGGTTTCCATCTTGATTTCTGAATCACCTTCATCTGAGAATTGCTGCCATTCACCTCATCGTCCCCCCTCTTCTCGCTGCAGATGCTTTTCTGCAGCAAATCAGCTCCCTTGACCCACACGCTCACGTTTGTCAATCTCCTCGTCCTAAACTGAAGCGTAGAGAGTGCGGTGGTGTTCATTTTCCCTTGTTCAATGTCCCAGCATAAAATGTGGTCCTCCTCCCGCTGCTTCCACGGCAACGCCGCAAGCCCCCACACGACGACTCCCCCTTCCACTCCAGCTAAAAGACGTCGATCCTCGTCAAGGGCAAGAGAGTGAATTACTTTCGACTGCTTCGTTGGGACACTCGTGCGGTCCCCATCCTCGCAAGCGAGATAATGCAGTGGTGAGGAAAACCCAGTGCCCCCAGCGTGGGCAGTAATAACAAATACGGTCGAAAGGAAGTAAGTGTGGTCCTCAACATTCACTCGCCAGAGACGAACCAAACCACTCTCATCACCAGTGAAAATGTATACAATTGAGCTTTCTGCTATGGCTACCGCCGATCTCTGCTGCGGGTTCGTCTCCCTCTCGAGAAACAAAGTACCCTCCCACATCAACAAGCAATGTACCGCCGTTGGATGCGGAATAGAGATAATATGTCGCGGCGCCGGATGAAAGCTGCTCAGATGCATGTAACCATCCGAGCCTGCGGAAGCCACTAAGGTGGCCAATTTCGCGATCGACATCACCGATTCCTCGTGTCGATGGCGATGCAAAATGCGTCGGGGCCCAGCGTTCCAGGGGACCAGCACTGTTTCTCCCCCAGTTGAAGTCGTCAGGAACGGACGCATGGTGGGCGGAAAGATAGGAAACATGCATAACAGGCCATTGTCGGTCCCTGCAAAGAAGTACTCAATCTGGTTAAGTGCCGCCAATCGGTGTTTATCTCGGCCACCACCCCCTGCATTCCTCAAAGCCCAGGAGAAAATCACCTCCGCCTCCTCCCTCGTTACCTCTGGAATAAGCGTGTACGCAAGTGTCGTGATAAATTTAATCTTCGACTCCTCCGCCAGTCCTGTGGAAGATCGGAGGTCATCTGACGGTGTTGAGGCAAGCGGAGCGCATCCGGCCTCAGGAAGCGCTGCCAGGGGGAATGCATTTCGCCGCGACCACATGGAAAGTACCCTTACCCTCCAGTGCGCCCTGTAGTTATGCTCGGTGTAGGGTGTGCCGTGGTGCGCCCCACCCTACACCACCATACCCCCCGCGTCGGCCACGCTCACTGGCGTTTTTCCGCACCTCCCCCGCTGGTGTTGCGTGAGAGCACGGCACGGGTGAATGAGAGTAGGCGGCCCGTATTCCGCTGCGATGAAGAAGACTTGGTATGATGTGACTTAAATGGATTTGCCAACGCAGCCCCGCTCTCGCGCAACGCACACATTGGGAGGATAAATGATATGCAGGGTCGAGGAGGGGAAAAGAAGAAAAAAAAAGCAAACAAGCAATAAGAACAAATAAAAAAGAAACACTCATTGCACACCAAGTTGAAGCAGCAGGGAAGAAAAGGGCGCCATTTTCCATCCCCGCTAGCCGTTCCGCTCCGGCCACAGTCCAGACGCCCCAGAAGCACAGAAGTGGCATGAGCAACGGTGACAAAAGTAATGGAACGCAGTCACGCAACCACACATAGAGTGACTAAGAGGGAAAGAGAGAGAAGGACTTAGCACCTACAAGGTGAATAAAAATCAGGAAGAAGAAAAAAAAGTCAAAAATAAAGTCATGAATAAAAATACGTTGGCCTCAAAGGAACGTGAATAGCCGCGCATACGTAAATATATAAAGCTGAGGGAAACCAGCACGCAACGCAGCCAATAGAACAGTGATGATATCAACGCACGAAGGCGCACAGACATGCCACGAAAGCCCCAAAAGACACAGAGTGAGAGGGGAACACACAGCCATACACAATCACGCAGCTACCTAGTTAATTGTACATCGTTTATTTTCTCGTCTTTTCTTCACTGCAGTCCTTCACCATTCATTCCTCCTGCAGCTGATTTTTTCCACACTTTTTTTTTTATTCTTCTATTTTTGTGTTCTCCACCCGCTGTCAACCGCAATGCACCTACGCAGCGCCCAAGCTCCCTCCAGTCGCGTTCCACCGTTCCCTTCATGTTCGCCCACGTCAAAAGAACGGAGAAGCGGAGAGTGCGCAGCAGAGGGAACCCATTCGCTCACTTCTCCACCTTTTTTCCACGCAATATCCCTAATCGGGAGCCCAAAAGCAGCAGCCAATGACGGAAACAAGCCATAAAAAAGGAAAGCCAACAAGAAATGCGTCCATACACACACACATACACACACACATGAAGCACACGCATACGCAGGCTCAAGTGTATTACATACCGATGCGGGCACTCCAAAACATTGCGCACTCCAACAGCAACTGACTCAAAAAAAGAAGCAAAAAAAAGTTGTGGTACGAGGCATGCGGGAAGGAAGGAATCCCAAACAACGACGCACGCTGCCGCATCTAAATAGATAGAAATGGAGAAAGCAATATATATATATATATATATATATATTTCTGTGTGTGTATGTGTGTACAAAGGAGAATGTCAATGGCCCCAGAAACACCCATAGCAACGAAGTGAGGAAGCGGAGGAGCAAAACCAACAACAAAAGGGAGACGAAAGAAACCAACACATCAACAGCAGAATAAATACAAACGTTAGGTGGTCAGGCTCGTCACACACAAATGTCATGAAGTAACGAAGGAAAACATAAAGGCAGTTATAACTCATTACTAAACAAAGCGCGAACGGAAGTTGGCAGACGAATTCAGGAGTAATTCACACAAAGTCAAACCTCACAAAAAGTCACATCTAACTGCGACATAATTCATGCAAAATAACCACTCTTTCATCCATGTTTCCCCTTTTCGCCGTGTAAATCCGCGCTTTCCATTATTTTTTCTTTTTCATTTCCTGGCACAAGCTTCCCGCTTATCTCGTCCCCCACCAAAATATTTTCATTATTTCTTATCTCTATCACTTTCGCGTCTTGCCGCTTCCTACGTCTTCCTTTCTTTTACTGCCCCACTTCATTCCGGAGTGAAATGCCTTTACTGTCTCGTCCTTACCGCAAGTTATGCTTCCCCCCCCGACTCCCCTCTCCATTGTATGTGGTTGTTCGCGAGTGCTTCGGTCGGAACCCAAGGGAAGGAAGGAGTGGGCGTGTGTGCATGCGTGCGGCAAGAGGAAACAAGGTAAATAATTCCTCAGCATGCAACATAGTCGTTTTAAATAGGCACCAGCCGCCCCTCTCCCTCAGAAAAGGGCTCACAGAGCTTCCCTCCCACCACAAGCAAACTACCTCCACCGGCACGGCTATCCGATCAATATATGCACATAAACACACTGGAAAAAGGAAAATCAGGCATTATAATAACAAGAATTATAAAGCGTGAATAATGAAGCGGGCGGAGGCTGGATGGAGTGTGAGAGCACATCACAGTATAGCATAAAATGGAAGGAGACAACGTTAATTCGCGGTATTAACGACACTCGAAAGACAATAAATGAAAACAAAAAACAACAACAAAAAGAAAAAGAAAAAGAAAAGAAGGGAGGGGGAAGAAAAGGCAGTCAAACTTTTGGGGCAAAGTATGTCGTATTCATCCCATGGAGGAAAAGCTGCTTGTTCTCTTCCTCTCCTCAGAGTAACCTGCTGAGTTGCGGGAGTTACGAGGCAGTTGGAGCATGTTGCTTTTTTTTTCCCCTACATCTCGAGCTCGCTATGTCTCACCCCTCGTTTGACACCGTGCAGCTATAGCTACCCAATTCCTCTCTTCTCTTACTCCACTCTCTGTTTCGTCTTGACTGCGTGATACCTCTCTCCAGCACCCTTTCTCTTCTTCCAAGGTGTCTCACGCGTCCGGTGGGCCCTGTGCGCATCCCCTGCGTCTGCGTCGGTGGAAGAACCAACTAGAGGCAACTCACGCACGCACGCACAACCACAACCACAACCACAACAAAAGGTAACCTCCAACTTACTGCTTCTTTTTTCTTATTTTTTTTATTCTCTTTGTTCTTGTCACTACAGTCCTGTCGTCGTCAGCCATCTTCGCTTGTTCCGCCCACCTCTCGCGGTTTAGTTCGCTCTGGGCCTCGGCAGTCCCCACCCACGCAATAAACTCTCGTCGATGCGTAGAAGAAAATTCGACGCAAACAACACACCCACACCCATACCCACACCCACCTAAAAAGAATGATCCCTGACAACAATCAGACTGGAATTTGCCACACCAGAGTGAAGGACATAAAACTATTTGTAAATATCTCAAAGGCACAACTCGCAACTTCCACCTCTTTTTTGTTGCTGTTAGTTCTTAACCATCATTATCGGGTCTCCTCCATTTCTGCGTTTTTCAAATTCTATTCTTGTTCCCTTTTCGGTTCTTTCCTTTATTCGCCTCCAACGTTGTCGTCATATGCGTCGCATAAGCGTATCACCTACCTGCGCTTTTTTTTCTTTACTTTGTATGTGTGTGCGTGTGTGTCGGTGTGCATGCCTGTTGGCGTCATCCTCTCACTCCTGTCACTCTTGTTCACCCGTCACACTGCAACCGCTCTCGTTGCTCACGTGTGACGCCCAGCGCCGTGCAGTTCCTCTCTTCTGTTCGTTGTGTTGTCGCCGTGTCACGGTTCCTTCTTATTTCCTTCACTATCAAAGCCGGGCTCCACACCCTACTCCCGTGCGGCGCCACGGTCAAGCGCGGACAGCACAAATAGTAACGATCCAAAAACAAAATAAAACAAATAATAATAATAATAACAATAATAAAACACACAGAAGAAAACAAAAAAAACAAAACAAAAAAAAATAAGTAGGACAAAACAACGAAACCTACCTACCCCCCCCCCCCCCCCCTCCGACGACTACGCCAACGACG